TTGGGAAAACAATTGGGAAAACAGTTGGGAAAACAATTGGGAAAACAGTTGGGAAAACAGTTGGGAAAACAGTTGGGAAAACAGTTGGGAAAACAATTGGGAAAACAGTTGGGAAAACAGTTGGGAAAACAGTTGGGAAAACAATTGGGAAAACAGTTGGGAAAACAGTTGGGAAAACAGTTGGGAAAACTGTTGGGAAAACAGTTGGGAAAACAGTTGGGAAAACAGTTGGGAAAACAGTTGGGAAAACAGTTGGGAAAACAGTTGGGAAAACAGTTGGGAAAACAGTTGGGAAAACAGTTGGGAAAACAGTTGGGAAAACAATTGGGAAAACAGTTGGGAAAACGGTTGGGAAAACAGTTGGGAAAACAGTTGGGAAAACAGTTGGGAAAACAGTTGGGAAAACAGTTGGGAAAACAGTTGGGAAAACAGTTGGGAAAACAGTTGGGAAAACAGTTGGGAAAACAGTTGGGAAAACAATTGGGAAAACAGTTGGGAAAACAGTTGGGAAAACAGTTGGGAAAACAATTGGGAAAACAGTTGGGAAAACAGTTGGGAAAACAGTTGGGAAAACAATTGGGAAAACAGTTGGGAAAACAGTTGGGAAAACTGTTGGGAAAACAATTGGGAAAACAGTTGGGAAAACAGTTGGGAAAACAATTGGGAAAACAGTTGGGAAAACAGTTGGGAAAACAATTGGGAAAACAATTGGGAAAACAGTTGGGAAAACAATTGGGAAAACAGTTGGGAAAACAATTGGGAAAACAGTTGGGAAAACAATTGGGAAAACAGTTGGGAAAACAATTGGGAAAACAGTTGGGAAAACAATTGGGAAAACAATTGGGAAAACAATTGGGAAAACAGTTGGGAAAACAATTGGGAAAACAGTTGGGAAAACAATTGGGAAAACAGTTGGGAAAACAATTGGGAAAACATTGGGAAAACAATTGGGAAAACAGTTGGGAAAACAATTGGGAAAACAGTTGGGAAAACAATTGGGAAAACAGTTGGGAAAACAATTGGGAAAACAGTTGGGAAAACAATTGGGAAAACAGTTGGGAAAACAATTGGGAAAACAGTTGGGAAAACAATTGGGAAAACTGGAAAATGAGAATCAAAGAAAGCTGGGCAAAAGGTTGGAAAAAATGGAAAATGATGTGAATGGCGTTTGTGGGAATCCTGGCGAACGTCTGAGTATGGTATTGCACGCATTGAAATAGAAGTACTTATGAATATTCGGTGCACCCCACCAATTGGGTAACTGTAAAAATTGCCAAAAATGATGAGTGCGATGTTGAGTATTGATTGGCCATGGCAATATGCTGCTTAGACTTTCAAATTCAAACCTTACCAGTTGGCGCCTGCTGTACCTCTCTTGAAACATCCTGTTTGCCACTTTCGCTGAGGAATAATTTCAACAACAAGGCCAGCACCGTGACAGCCGCGGGGAGAAGCCACTGCACATGTTCGTGACACCAAAGGCGATGACATGTCGTTTTCTCCGCGGCAGCAAAACCAGAAATGTCCAGGGCAGCATCACACATTCCTGCGAAGCGAAACAAGCAATACGTCCATGCGGCCATGCGCACATCTTCACAGAAGAAACATGTAAGAAAAAGCAAAGACTTGGCTACTGTAGCATCGTGACTGAGCTTGATACACACTACCAGTGAGATTTCCCCAACTCACCACTTGATCATTGGCGATCAATCACCGGGTCCTTTGGTGTCGCCCATTTCTGGCGGGTTGCTGGCACGGAGAGTGCATTGCACGCTGTTCATACACTCCCATTTCTCACCTGGGATCAAGCTCAGAATGGCTGTGCTTGTATTGAACATCACCCAAACAACCAAACATGTCCAAATGGATAGCCCAATTATGCCCAATTTGCCAAAGCTGTACACTTCACAAACTTTCCTGAAACTTCCCAGTGACAGGCGGGTCCTCCATGAGTGCAGAAGTGATGATACTTGGGGCAATTCGCCCAGCGCAACTGCGGCCATGGAAGTCGATGGGTGTGATCAGAATGCGACAGAATGCGTCATTGTTTAGGTCTTTTAGGAAAAGGATGCAGACAACATCAATCATCCAGGAAACATTTCAGAAACGTCAAGGTGCTGCACATGTTTGCACATCTATCCACTGGAGACCTCTCAAAAAGATGCTACAGTATGCTACAGTAACAGACAGTGGACAATTGCAACATACGAGTAGCGTAACAAAGTGTTCAAAGTTCGCAACACGGCACAGCCACCAGGCCACCACTTCACACAGCCGAGGCAAGGTGTTTTGTTTACCGGGTGTGGCACTAGGTGTGGCAGCCGTGGCACCTGGGTCCCAGAGCACATGACACCGTCGAAGACAGCGTTGACCTTTTCGGATGCCAGTCCCGCGGGGCAGATGGAGTTGAACATCACCGTCCACATCTCAGTGCAGCGGTGCAGCAAAGGGCGCAGCTATGTCACCAGCAACGTCCATCATGAAATGAAGATGTAAAGCTGCGAGTAAGGGACAACACAAGGATATGGCTATAGCATGGCATTCACTCCAAACTGTTCAGAAGGCCTTGTTTGGGCTGTTTGAAGGCTCAAATTCATCAAATGTGTGGGTCCATTGCTAGCCCCATCCACTGGTACCCCATATTTCTGAGCCATAACCATATGACATACATAAAGAGGCTCCAGAAATTCAGGGCCATACATTCGATATCCAGCCATGCCCCAAAATTGTGCCCAAAAATTGTCCCAGTTCTTCGAGCTGCCCAGAGGTTCAAGAGGATAGATCCATGTCCACCATGGACCTCTTCGGGCATGTTGCCACCCATCTGGTAGAAATCGATCAGTTGAAACTTGAACGAAGCTTGGGATGTCATGGCCTCGCGAGCCACGTGGTGGCTTCAAGCAGAATTGATGGCTTGTGGATGGACATGGTTGATTTATAAAACCATTCGTTAAAGACGACAGAAGAACAACTACCCTAGTGAGCCGTACTGTGCCTTCTGGATGTAGACGTTCATATCTGCATAAGTCTCTCGCTCTCCTTTGCCATCGCTCCAACTGATTGTTTGAAGGTAACATCCAAGCTGAACTCGACCACTATGACACCAGCTCTGCATTCGCTCCAAACTCACCTCCATCTCCTCCTCTGACATGCGTGATAGCAAAACGCGACCCCCTGCAGTCCCCTGCAGTCCCCTGCAGTCCCCTGAATCAAAATGGAAGTTGGAACATATGGGTAGCCGCTATAGCCATGTGATGCCATGTCACCTGGGTCACCTGGGTCATGCGATGTCACCTGGGCGGGTCTATTCTCAATTGCAGTTGCGCGCCGCGCGCGCCCCCGCTTCCCCGTGCCTTAAATGTCTGCATGCCTTTGCCATACATGTCCTGTTCTATGAGCTCTTTCCTGGCAGATAGGATGAGACTTTCTCCGGCAATCAAAATTGAATCTTCCGGCGGAAAAGGCTGTCAAAACCTATTGCAGTACTCTTTTTCAATCGAAACAAAGAAAAAAACATGAAACTAAAACATCGAACAATATCGAACACAATAATGTACCATAGTCTCCTTGGACAGTAGGAAAACTTCAGCTTGGAGCAGTAGTAGTACCAGGCCCCAATCTGTGTGATGAATCCCAACTTGGCATTTTTCCAATGTCCGTCTCCATCGGCATCGATAACCTCATCGATGACATCCATGGCCAGATCACTGCGAGCCCAGAAGAAGGCTGTGACGAAGGTCACACGGATGGCGCCATGGCGGCGTGGCGCTTTCGACAATAGTTGCACCATCTTGTCTTTACCTAAGTGGCCACTAAGGGATTGATGGATAAATGGTGACAACATGTGACGAACTCACCAAGAACTCCAAAAAAGTCGAACCTAAACTGCCCCAGTACTGTTAGGTCTTGATGCCATCATCCTTCGCTATTTAAAAATGGATTCACACACCACTCAGAGTGGGTGAAAATTTGGCCAAAAGGATGGGTAAACACTCCAGTTGGTGGATCCTGCCAGGTGGAGATTAGTGGAGATGAAAAAACGACAAAAAATGGGTAGCCAACAGAATTTTCAGATGATCCAAATTTTAAAAAATGGATGTAAAACCAAATGGGCCAGGCCCAAGCTACACTGAGGTTCCAATTTTCTGGTGTCTGACATATTCAGCTGTCGGCACGCCGGCTCCACATTGGGTATCTGCTCCCAATGGGTCACCTGGCCGACGGAATACCATCAATGCATCACAAAAGGGAGTTCTCATCTGCCATGTGTTCAAATAAATGGCTGCTACTTTCAAGTGTCAGTAGACAATGATGTTCAACGTAACAAAGAACTACTATTACTGGCACTATCCGCCGACCCCGGCCGATGCAAGGGGGAGCGCGTAAGGGAAAAAGAGGTACTGCACTGCTATTACTACTACTACTCCTACTCCTACTACTACTACTACTACTACTACTACGACTACGACTACGACTACGACTACGACTACGACCACGACCACGACCACGACCACGACCACGACCACGACGACGACGACGACGACGACTACTACTACTACTACTACGACTTGGCGGCTTCTTCGTCCTTCACTGCCATGCTGTAAATTGAAGAGCTAGTTGAAGAGCTAGTTCTCTAGGATTTCAGAAGTGACGTTAGGGAGTTTTTTGTTGCGATTTGGTGGCCTCTTCGTCCTTCACTGCCATGGTGTTTCAGGCTGGCGGGTCCGGCGTTTTGGCGGCTCAGAAGCTGTAAGTTGAAGAAGAAGAGGTAGTTGAAGCGCTAGGTCTCTAGGATTTCAGAAGGGACGTTAGGGAATTTTTTGGTGCGATTTGGTGGTTTCTTCATCCTTCACTGCCATGGTGTTTCAGGCTGGCGGGTCCGGCGTTTTGGCGGCTCAGAAGCTGTAAGTTGAAGAAGAAGAGGTAGTTGAAGCGCTAGGTCTCTAGGATTTCAGAAGGGAGGTTAGGGTGTTTTTTTGGTGCGATTTGGTGGCTTCTTCGTCCTCCACTGCCATGGTGTTTCAGGTTGCCGGGTCCGGCGTTTTAGTGGGTCAGAAGCTGTAAGTTGAAGAGTTAGTTGAAGAGCTAGTTCTCTAGGATTTCAGAAGGGACGTTAGGGAGTTTTTTGGTGCGATTTGGTGACTTCTTCGTCCTTCACTGCCATGGTGTTTCAGGCTGGCGGGTCCGGCGTTTTGGCGGCTCAGAAGCTGTAAGTTGAAGAGCTAGTTGAAGAGCTAGTTCTCTAGGATTTCAGAAGGGACGTTAGGGAGTTTGTTGGTGCGATTTGGTGACTTCTTCGTCCTTCACTGCCATGGTGTTTCAGATGGGCGGGTCCGGCGTTTTGGCGGCTCAGAAGCTGTAAGTTGAAGAAGAAGAGGTAGTTGAAGCGCTAGGTCTCTAGGATTTCAGAAGGGACGTTAGGGAGTTTTTTTGGTGCGATTTGGTGGCTTCTTCGTCCTCCACTGCCATGGTGTTTCAGGTTGCCGGGTCCGGCGTTTTAGCGGGTCAGAAGCTGTAAGTTGAAGAGCTAGTTGAAGAGCTAGTTCTCTAGGATTTCAGAAGGGACGTTAGGGAGTTTTTTGGTGCGATTTGGTGACTTCTTCGTCCTTCACTGCCATGGTGTTTCAGGCTGGCGGGTCCGGCGTTTTGGCGGCTCAGAAGACAGGCACGTCAGGGAGCTCAGTGTTTTGGCGGCTCAGAAGGTGTAAGTTGAAGAGCTAGTTGAAGAGCTAGTTCTCTAGGATTTCAGAAGGGACGTTAGGGACTTTTTTGGTGCGATTTGGTGGCTTCTTCGTCCTTCACTGCCATGGTGTTTCAGGCCGGCGGGTCCGGCGTTTTGGCGGCTCAGAAGCTGTAAGTTGAAGAGCTAGTTGAAGAGCTAGTTCTCTAGGATGTCAGAAGGGACGTTAGGGAGTTTTTGGGTGCGATTTGGTGGCTTCTTCGTCCTTCACTGCCATGGTGTTTCAGGCTGGCGGGTCCGGCGTTTTGGCGGCTCAGAAGCTGTAAGTTGAAGAGCTAGTTGAAGAGTTAGTTGAAGAGCTAGTTCTCTAGGATTTCAGAAGGGACGTTAGGGAGTTTTTTGGTGCGATTTGGTGGCTTCTTCGTCCTTCACTGCCATGGTGTTTCAGGCTGGCGGGTCCGGCGTTTTGGCGGCTCAGAAGCTGTAAGTTGAAGAGCTAGTTGAAGAGCTAGTTCTCTAGGATTTCAGAAGGGACGTTAGGGAGTTTTTTGGTGCGATTTGGTGGCTTCTTCGTCCTTCACTGCCATGGTGTTTCAGGCTGGCGGGTCCGGCGTTTTGGCGGCTCAGAAGCTGTAAGTTGAAGAGTTAGTTGAAGAGCTAGTTTCTCTAGGATTTCAGAAGGGACGTTAGGGAGTTTTTTGGTGCGATTTGGTGGCTTCTTCGTCCTTCACTGCCATGGTGTTTCAGGCTGGCGGGTCCGGCGTTTTGGCGGGTCAGAAGCTGTAAGTTGAAGAGCTAGTTGAAGAGCTAGTTCTCTAGGATTTCAGAAGGGACGTTAGGGAGTTTTTTGGTGAGATTTGGTGGCTTCTTCGTCCTTCACTGCCATGGTGTTTCAGGCTGGCGGGTCCGGCGTTTTGGCGGCTCAGAAGCTGTAAGTTGAAGAGCTAGTTGAAGAGCTAGTTCTCTAGGATTTCAGAAGGGACGTTAGGGAGTTTTTTGGTGCGATTTGGTGGCTTCTTCGTCCTTCACTGCCATGGTGTTTCAGGCTGGCGGGTCCGGCGTTTTGGCGGCTCAGAAGCTGTAAGTTGAAGAGCTAGTTGAAGAGCTAGTTCGCTAGGATTTCAGAAGACGTTAGGGAGTTTTTGGTGCGATTTGGTGACTTCTTCGTCCTTCACTGCCATGGTGTTTCAGGCTGGCGGGTCCGGCGTTTTGGCGGCTCAGAAGCTGTAAGTTGAAGAGCTAGTTGAAGAGCTAGTTCGCTAGGATTTAGGACGAGGTTTTTGGTGCGATTTGGTGACTTCTTCGTCCTTCACTGCCATGGTGTTTCAGGCTGGCGGGTCCGGCGTATTGGCGGCTCAGAAGGCAGGCACGTCAGGGAGCTCAGTGTTTTGGCGGCTCAGAAGCTGTAAGTTGAAGAGCTAGTTGAAGAGCTAGTTCTCTAGGATTTCAGAAAGGACGTTAGGGAGTTTTTCGGTGCGATTTGGTGACTTCTTCGTCCTTCACTGCCATGGTGTTTCAGGCTGGCGGGTCCGGCGTTTTGGTTGCTCAGAAGCTGTAAGTTGAAGAGCTAGTTGAAGAGCTAGTTCTCTAGGATTTCAGAAGGGACGTTAGGGAGTTTTTTGTTGCGATTTGGTGACTTCTTCGTCCTTCACTGCCATGGTGTTTCAGGCTGGCGGGTCCGGCGTTTTGGCGGCTCAGAAGCTGTAAGTTGAAGAGCTAGTTGAAGAGATAGTTCGCTAGGATTTCAGAAGGGACGTTAGGGAGTTTTTTGGTGCGATTTGGTGGCTTCTTCGTCCTTCACTGCCATGGTGTTTCAGGCTGGCGGGTCCGGCGTTTTGGCGGCTCAGAAGGGAACACATCAGGGAGCTCAGTGTTTTGGCGGCTCAGAAGCTGTAAGTTGAAGAGATAGTTGAAGAGCTAGTTCTCTAGGATTTCAGAAGGGACGTTAGGGAGTTTTTTGTTGCGATTTGGTGACTTCTTCGTCCTTCACTGCCATGGTGTTTCAGGCTGGCGGGTCCGGCGTTTTGGCGTCTCAGAAGGGAACACATCAGGGAGCTCAGTGTTTTGGCGGCTCAGAAGCTGTAAGTTGAAGAGCTAGTTGAAGAGCTAGTTCTCTAGGATTTCAGAAGGGACGTTAGGGAGTTTTTTGTTGCGATTTGGTGGCTTCTTCGTCCTTCACTGCCATGGTGTTTCAGGCTGGCGGGTCCGGCGTATTGGCGGCTCAGAAGCTGTAAGTTGAAGAGCTAGTTAAAGAGCTAGTTCTCTAGGATTTCAGAAGGGACGTTAGGGAGTTTTTTGATGCGATGTCATGGTGTTTCAGGCTGGCGGGTCCGGCGTTTTGGCGGCTCAGAAGCTGTAAGCTGAAGAGCTAGTTGAAGAGCTGGTTCTCTAGGATTTCAGAAGGGACGTTAGGGAGTTTTTTGGTGCGATTTGGTAGCTTGCAGAAGCAGTACAAGACGTCGCATATATTTAATTCAAACATATCAAATATATTTCATAAAAATCTACATATGAAAAAGAAGAAAGTGTGAAAGTGCGAAGCACCGAGGAATATCTATGCCCATTTGGTTTGCTTACTTGACCATTCTTCCGGGGTCGGCGGCAGGGGCGGCAGCCCCTTAATATGTATATAATATGAAACATTATACATATATATATATATATCGTATATGTATGTATATATATATATATATCGTATACGTATATATTACTATATTTTTAGTTTTTGTTGGCAAATAGATACTGTCACGATGTCCAAATTTCAACCACCATGCCATGGCACTCCCAGCATGCCCTGGCCTCTCCATCCTCCACAATGGCATCTACCAGGGCACTGATCCCGATCAACTCACCCGTGCGGTCGATGTCGAACTCTTTGGGAGCTAAAAAATTGATCAAGTTGTTGAACCTCAAATCCCGGTGACGGAATGCCCAGGGAATCAAGGAACCCAAAGGAATTCATTGATTCATTTGATTCATTGGGGGGGTCTAATTGTTTTGTGCACACATGTCCATCGATATGTCTATATGAAAATGAATTATTGATTAACTAACGCACTAATTAACCAATTTAATAATTCAATTTACTCTATATATATATTTTTTCTTTTTGCCAAGCGCAGGCCAGACAGGCTGAGCGCAGAATCCAACGTAATCATGCAAAAAATACTGTGCCAGGGGGGGTGAAACTGATCTCTACCTTGCAGTGCCATGTCAAAAAAAACGTTGGTGGAGACAAACAAGAAATTAGAAACAACTTAAAGATGTCAAGGGGGAGACAAAAGTAATCCCAATACCCACTGTGATATTGGCAGGGCAGGGAGAAAGCCCTTTGCTTTCGGTGATGATTTTCGGTGACGATTTTCGGTGACGATTTGCCACAATTTTCGGCGATGATTTCGGTGACGATTTTCGGTGATGGATCACGAGAAGACTCCAATTCTCTGGCAAGCTAGGTCGTTGACTAGCTGTCTATGCGCAGGATTATCTATGTCAAATGGGTGTGGTTGGTTCAGAGTTTGATAAGCATCATCATATGTTGTTGTTAACCATTGTTGTCGAGGTTTTCCGGGTCGCTTGCGAAATTCCAATCTTGGAATTAAAGTTCCTTTTTCAAACAGAACTTGTCTCATAGGGTCACTATATACATACATATAGTTAGATAGATGGATCCATAGACAGATAGACAAATAGACAAATGGACAAACAGCCAGCCAGGCAGGCAGGCAGACAGACATATAGCTAGGTAGATAGATAGATAAATCAGATAAAATAAAAAAATTGGACAAGATAGCGCGCGAGAGAGAGAGAGAGAAGAGCTAGAGAAGAGAGAGAGAGAGAGAGAAGGAGAGAGAGGAGAGAAGAGAGAGAGAGAAGAGAGAGAGAGAGAGGAGAGAGGAGAGAGGAGAGAGCTAGATATATGATATATCATTATCATTCATTATCATGATACCCTTGAAACAGTAATGGCACAATCCCATTCTCAACCATCAGGGATTTTTGGCTGTGCTCCATCCTATCAAAGGTTCAGTGAAGTTTAGTGGCATTGTTCAACGGAGAATCTTCAGCAATCCCTGGTACTAATGGACCTGGCAAATTCTTGGACGCATCATTCTGGATCCACAAGTGGCAATCAAGATACCTGAAGCGTCCAATCTTAATCTTCGGGGCCAACCAATATTGATTGCATGGTACATCATGGCACGTTGCAGGGAAATTCATGGTAGCTGTTCAACAACTTGGCTGCAAAAATCCCATGGACTGCCACGAAATGAAACCACAGAAATGTCAAAAGAATCACCGATAGCCTTTTGGATCAAGCAACTCCAGCAAAGTGTTGGAAGAGCCTGCTATGACAATCCAGTTTCCTTTGAGGCAGCTTGCAGCATCGTTCTTCTCGTAGAGGTTGTAGCGACAACCTCCCGGGGAGTCACAGTGCCATCTTGAAATAAAGACGCTGTCACGTCAACGAATATCATGCCTGGGTGATAACATCCCCAATTGCTCCCAGTGCAGAACTCCACGACCCACACACCACACCACACATCTTCCTCAAGCATCCTCAATCATCCTCCAGTTCAAGATTCAATTCATTCCCACCATATGATTCATAATCCATAATTATCATATAATCCCCATATAATCCCCATATAATCATATAATCATTCCCAGCATTTCCCACCTGCATCCAGCACCAGGTTGTTCTGCGAGACATTTCCAGCCACTGGTGGGATAGATGATGCTTGGCACGGTGGAAACAAACTCACATCCACCGCCTCCACGTGATCCACGTGACAGGCGCACCATGCAACAAGCGCAACAAGCGCAAGCGCCGCTCGGCGGCCTTGCCGGCCTTGCCTTGGAAAAGGGCGGAAAAAAATGGGTGATTTTTTACACATTTTTACACATTGTGCAACCATGTGCAACCCTCCAATTTGGGTACTATAGAACCAGATATTCGGGTCCTATTCAGGTGTGGTTCAACCATCCATTTTGAACCTCGTTGATTCAGGTGCTTTACAGCCCAAGGAACAGCGTCATCTGCACATCTGACCGGCTCTCGAACCGCAAATTGGCTAAGCAGCGATCCGATTTTGCGTGACAATGCTGACACCAAACAGCATTGAAGTTCTTGGCGCTTCAATTTTGGCCCCTCCTTACCTATTGTATCACCTATTGGTCATATGGGTATGGGTCAATACCTATAGAATCCTATAGATACATTTTGAGTGGGATGAACATCCATTTTAACCCAGCTATGAATTGGGGTTCACTAGGTACCAGGGCTTTGACCCATCCCCATATTGGTCACCTATTAGCTTCCACAAAATACAATGTATCTATGCGCACTTGGGCCTCATCTCCCTTTGGCTTCACTGATGTATCAGCTCAGACCCCCAGCCGATCCGTTAAACCCGCAAGCCGAGACAAAATCGTCACTTTAGGCCTTTAATGAATTTAATTAACACAAATTCAGACGCCAATATGAAAGTTTTAATGATTGAAGGAGTGATCTGCTACAACCGCGAAGCAGATTCAGGAAGCAAACCTTGTCCTGGTACGACTCGTTTTTCTTGCCGCGGTTTGTTTCAGTCTGTCTTAGACAGCTGTCTAATCCATGGGTTCAACGCGTAGCACTCTCTTGAGAAATCCAGCAAAACTTTCGGCACCTGTCATGACTGTCATGTGCCTCTCTGTCATCTCTGTCATCTCTGTCATCTCTGTCGTTCCAGATTAACGCGTTGAACGCGTTGAACGCGTTGATGCCATGTCAGAATTGTGTGTCTCCCAATTCGGGAGCGCACTAAGCGCACAAATAGCGCAGAAATTGGCCGAGCCGTTTGGCTGTGCCCCTCTGGGGATCCGAATGGGTCGCTGCGAATTCGGTGCTTCTCCCGCTCCCGAAGGATCCGAAGGATCCGAAGGATCCGAAGGATCCGAAGGCCATGGACCAATGGATCTCCATGATAAAAAGAACTTCATACGACAAAATCTCATCAAAATATCATTAAAGGTCATCAAATATCATCAACTATGACTATATTCATTGCATCCACTTTGCAAGTGCTTGATGAGAGAACCATGAATTGAATCTTGCAGGTTAGATGTGCACCTGAATGCATAATAAGGTCTTTTCTGGACAGCACTGGGCTATACAATGCATACAATGCATAGCAGCTGCTAAAGTTTTTTGAATTTCAGCGCTTTGGCGTATCTCTCACCATGTTTCCCTAAGGAGAATCGGCCCAGCAAGTCCCACAGCGCATAGCGACCACGTCCGTTGCCATGCGTCAAACACTGCATGCGACCAAAGGCTTTGTTCCACAATCCTCCAGTAATGGGATCCTTGGCAAATAAGGTGTAGGGATTCAAGTCGGAGGTGCTCAAGCACAAGGCGCCCTGATAGTCCAGCGCAATCTGATCTGTATTGGCGAACCAATATTTGGCCAGAACAGATTGGTCCCCAAGGGTGGATTCTTTATCATAGTTGTAGAGCGACCAAGAAATCATAGGTAAGAGGTCCTTCACCGGTCCAATAATGAAGCCGGAATTCAGGAATTTGATGGCTGGAGGACTGGCACAAGGACATCCCACACTGCCACATCCTTTGGGACTCACCTGGAGCCAAAGAGAGCCAAAGATTTCAAGGTAACAATGCACCAAAATCCACCAACTGTTACGCGCTTTTTAACCATTGATCCGAAGATTTCAAGCTGCTTGGTCTTACCGTATACAGTCCGTATACCTAGATATACCTAGATATACCTAGTCTTGCTTTGGAAAGCAATCGAAAGCACTTTCTCAGTCTCAAAGTTGCTACATCTTCTGCTACATCTTGCTTTCTGAGTCACGTATTTCTGCCAAAATCCGTCGTTCAAGGAGATGTTCGCCAGGTTTACAGCCCACTCTGGAGCTGGAGGCACCTTGTTGCATGGCTGCTCTCCACATGCAATCTCCGCTGAGATCACAATAGACGCACCACTGGCCTCTACAATCTGCTGATAGTAATGCAAGAAGTCTTTCATCTCACAACCACCCCAAAAGATATCTGTGCCATCCATGAAAGCCACCAAGTCATCATCCTTTTTGCTCTTCAAGAAGGGCAGCAAGAGCTCAAACTTGGTCTTGTAGCCATGCCATGGTTTCCCGGCCCCAATGTTCACCACCTCAAAGGGCCCACCCACTTTCTGAAGCAATGAAGAGCCCTTGGTCTGAAGCGTCACGAAGACTGGATCTGGTAACGTGCTTGTGGTTGTGCTCGTTGTCGTTGTGGTCGTTGTGGTCGTCGTTGACATGGTCGTTCCTCCTAATCCTCAGAAACAGCAGGGAGAAATTGGAAAAATTGGCTAAATTGAGGGAGCGTCTTTCTGCTTTTCTGTTCAATCTGAACATGGCAAATGTGGTTTTGAAAATTTCACGAATGAAGAGGTGAGTTTTGTCTTGCGGTTTTCCCTCGCAGTCAAGTTGCGAAGTGCATGCGCAGCATTTTCTGTGGCACCGGCAATGACTCGGCTCTCTTTCGCAATGACTTTGCTGTCATTCACAATGAATTGATGGAGTGTGTCTGAGTCCTTCCGCAGTTCCTTGCTGAAAGGTGATTCTGGGATGGGAATCTGAGTGAAAATCACGCCAATGAAGAAGCCCAAAGAAAACCACAGACATATCCTGACAGGTGCGGCTGATACAGGCTGTGGTACCGAAACAACAACAACAACAACAACAACAACAACAACAACAACAACAACAACAACAACAACAAGAACAACAACAACAAGAACAACAACAACAAGAACAACAAGAACAACAAGAACAACAAGAACAACAAGAACAAGAACAAAAAGATGAACATCGCACCCCCAGCAGACCAACTAAATCGTACCAAAAGCCCAAGTGGATTTGGGCCCCGAGCCTGATGCCCTTGCCACTCTGTGGTGAATCTGAGCTTCTCTGTTCATCACTCAGCTGCACCCCTTGCTTCTCCTTCGTCAAGACAGGTGATTCGAGATCCCCATTCGTACTGTAGGCACCACCATCACCACCATGTACAGCTTCTCCGCTACCGCCACTGCCATCGCTTCCACGGTCCATGGTTGTCTCGGTTGCAGCCTGGCTGCTGCCGCAACGGGCGTCGTGCACCGCAGCGTGATCACAGGCTCTGCTAATGGAGCCGACTATCTGCGGAGCTGCGACGCGAACAAATACAAACAAATACACAAAGCAAACGACAAGATGGACAAGGATGAACGTGGAGTTCTGTGTGGTACCCAATTTTTAAGATGTTTTTCTCAGTTCCGGTCCTATCTGTTGCTCTTGGAAACCGAGGCTGTGACTGGTGAGGAGCCAACGGTGGGCAGTGCCTATGACGCCTGGGAATACGCCAAAGCCATTGTGGCTGTCAGAGGATGTCAAAGGTAGATGGTTAGAGGGGTTTCCATGATTTGAATCGATTGAGCTTCAACTGAAAATTCATGTCGAGGCTGCGAGGCTGGTTGCCTGTTATTACTTTAATATGATATGATATATGATATATATATATAATATCTCCGAATTTGTTGCCTCTCCTGTCACAAGAAATTGAGCTTCACCGGCTTCAACCAACGGTGCACACTGCGACCTGCGAATCCGCCATTGCCGGTGACAATCTCCCGCTCTGATCCAGGGCAGCGCCAATTCCATGAAACACTTCTGTTGCCAAACTGTGATCATCGTCATCAACATCATCAACATCATCAACATCATTATTGTTATATTATTACTATTATTATTATTACTACATCATCAACATCTATCATCATTAACAGCTATTAACCATTATTAACAACTATTAACCATGATTAACCATTGCTAGCCATCAACCAACCCTCATCCAATTCCAAGCTCATTCCCAGCTGCCACTGTCGGCCCAACCCTTTGTCTTCACACCACTCACGACGGCGCCGCGCCACCGAGCGGTGACATGACGACGCCCGTTTAGCGGAGTGACAAGACACGGCGTGAGACACGGCAGAGTAGCCATGCGGCCAAAAACGTTGCCGTAGTGTGAGACGTGACATGACGTGACAATGCTTAAACGTTTGGAAATTGGTTGGGTTCCTTGCCATCTGGAATTGGAAACATGGAAACGGAGCTGTTCCAGTCTGGGCAGGGCACCAGAAATTCTACCCTCAGACTTTGTTGAGAGACTGGCAAGGTTCGCTGAACCCAAGGAAACACGGCTTTAAATCATTTCAAATCATTTTGCAATTTGACATTGCTTTCCCAACGACAGCACCTCACTATGGTCCTTGCTCGTGCCAATGGATATCAACGAATATCAACGAATATCAACGAATATCAACGAATATCAACGAATATCAATGAATATCAATGAATATCAATGAATATCAATGAATATCAATGAATATCAATGAATATCAATGAATATCAATGAATATCAATGAATATCAATGAATATCAATGAATATCAATGAATATCAATGAATATCAATGAATATCAATGAATATCAATGAATATCAATGAATATCAATGAATATCAATGAATGTGGATGTGCACTGCTCAAAATTCAGAAATTCCATGGATCCATTTATCTTGGATCTCATGGGAAAGCTGCCCGTTTCATTTGGGAGTCTGATTCTCGGCCGCCCTTGTCACACTCAGCGTGCAAGGGTAAAAGGAAAGCGTGGCCGAACGTGGCAATGTGACTGGACAGGTCTCAAACAGACTCAGTTCACCTAAGCTTTGAAAAACTCGCGCTGCGATTCCGACACCAAGAGCCATCTGGACATAGATGAAATAGGATAAAAATGCGCTACGGGAATCTGTAGGACATTATAGGATACATATGGCATATGGGAATCTGTAATACATTATTCTCATGAACTTGACACAAAAATTGTGTATGCGTACCATGTACACATCAGGATAGAAAAAAACACGAGACATCGCCGACATCGCAATGCTTTGGGCCCCTACGACCTGGCCCACTTTTAAGCTCTCTTCGCCTGAGCGAAATCGTCAAGCACCTTTCATCGTGCGAAATCACGACACGACATCGCACATCGTCTCGATCGAGGCCCCGAGCCACGACTCCAGCAGACGTTGCCCTGCAAGAAGCATAGCAGGCCGATGCCAGCACTGGGTGTAGAGAACCTGCAGAGATGACGAGACGTGTCGATCGCATGTTTTCTTCGATTTTGTGTGTCGAGACAGGTGGACAATTTGTTTGTTGCGGGTTTGTCACAGGTTTGTCTAAAATTGTTCTTTGGCGATTTACATCGATTTACGGTTTATTGTACACAGCCCACCGCATATTTGCAGCAAATCCCAGGCTCAATCCGCTCCAGACCACACCTCTCTCTGGGATAAGGATCGTCATCGTTCAATGGCACAACTTCCGATTCCATCTGCAGCAAAGACGCACAGCAAACATTCGCTGAATGTTGGATAATGTTGGATCTTTATGGATCTTTTGGATATCAAAAAGAGATGCGAACATCGCATTTCAAAAAAACACCATGGCTACTGCACAGCGAGGACAGGGACGCCTCCTCCATAATGGTGGTGAAGGTGCGCTCCAACTTTCCCTCACCGTCCTCCGAAAGTGGTATCCAAACGGCCAATGCATGGAGGTAGTGACTGCCAATCGCTGCCGATTTCCGACTTCCAATTTGTAACGCGCAGTAGACCCACTCTGTCCGTCTTCTCCCCTTCATCGACGGCTGGCTCTGGATTCGCCGGAATCTGCAAATCAAGCTGAAAAAAGACCACCCACTGGAAAAAAAAAATCTAAATATCTAAATATCTAAATATCTAAATATCTAAATATCTAAATATGTATATGTATTCCGGTTCCTGCGGAGACTTTTTCTGCCCATTCCATGCTGCATCCAACTTAGCACGGGGCAGAAGACTTGGAGTTTTGACCAGACGGCAGGTCCTGGCCGTCAATGCTGTGATCCAACACCACAATACCTACCACTGCAAGTATTTGGAGCTGATTTTCTTTGCTTTCTCTATTTGCAGACACAAATTCTACAGCTATGGACGATCAAAACCTTGATGAGCTGGTGAACACCAAAAATAGATATAAGATATATAATATATATATATATTATATATACAATATATATAATATAATATATATATAGATAGATAGATAGATAATATATATGTATAATATATATATACCTTGTAAAATATATATATATATATACAATATTATATATATAATATTATATATATAATATTATATATATAATATTATATATATATAATATTATATATATAATATTATATATATAATATTATATATATATATTTCAAAAAGTGGAGTTCTTCCCCCAACGGTTTGGATCCTGCGAAGACTTGCTGGTCGCCATCACAGGTCGCGACAGCATCCGCTCCTCGTTTTCAGCACCATCATGGCCCATGGCCATTGGGTAAAGGGAACTCCAAAAAGATAGAACCGTCGGAAAGTTGAACCATGTGGGTAAAACAATGCCATAAACCACTCCATTTTTGATGGCTACCACCCATTTATGGTGATGGGGATGATTTATGATTGTTTTAACCACATTACAGTTTTAAAACAGTTCAATAATCATCAAATTAGGAGATTTACTGTAAATCATCATTGGGGGGATGACTATGTACCCAACAATAGGGGACCAACAATACTGGTGGACACCCTTCGGACACCGAGGTCACCAAGTTGATGCCAGGCATCCACATCTTCAATGAAAGAGGGCGGTGACTTTCGCTGAGCCTTGCGAAACCACGTTGTTTCAATGTTCTAAAACAAAAAAGGGACCTGGTAGATGATTGTGATGTGGTTCCCATCACAACATGTTCCATAGAATCTAAGACATTCCCATCATTCCTGATTCGATGAGGGCATTTTTCATGGCACCTGGTTGTGCTTGTGACCGTGAACAGAATCACCTGCACATGGGCAGATTCGATGCGCATGACGACCCGCGACATAAGGGATGACAAGGGTATGTTCCAAGAATTGTGTTTATGTCTGTATCTACATGTACAAATATAGTATTATACGTACATATATATATTATGTACTTGATGATAATTAATGATAATTAATATATGTAATATATATATAGTCTATATACATATAATCTATATATATATATACATATTGTATCATTGGATCATTGTATCGTTGCATCCGGAATCTTGAAGTCGACCTGTGTCTGGAAATGGGGTGCCCATTGATGGGGTTAATGGCCATCAATCATCTTATATGATATGTATATATATATAATGGGCATTGGGGTTAATGGCCATGTACATGTATGTACATATATATAACTCTTCAAACCTCGGCCATTTCTCCTTCCCTGCGTTAGCAAGTATTCACATGCTTTGCCACCTTTGGAGGCTCATCTCAAATTGGCATAGCTACATCACACAAGCCAACCTTCCCACTTTTGCCGAATTCTTCTTCTTACTGGGCTGCTGCCACCATAAATCACATGGAATGGCAGCTCTTGAAAATGAAATTGCTTTCTGGTGCAAAGGGACAAAGTTTTCTGCCAACTTCAAGATCTTCGATTTTGAAGAGAGAGGAATCTTGTTGAGATACGTTATGGCCGAAACTTCTTGCAGGTATATGGACATAACTTTGTAGGCTGCCCACCTGCCACGTCTCATCACGAGTTCTCCCGACTCAGTTGTTTGCAGAAGCCACGTCGCTCCTCCGGGTCGAAGTGACCCCATGTCCAGAGGCTTTACTCCACAATATTTCTGTTGAGGGAGGTCTAAAGCCTTTGTGAGGACTTTGAACCTTGCACGTAATGTTTGTGCTGAGAAATTCCACAATTTTTCTCCAGGTCTCAAATGCGAAAAAGCCATAGTTACTGTGTCCAGCAAGTCCGGCACATCCAGTTTTGCACTTTGATGTCGAGCAGTAGAGAATCTTGTCTTTGGCTCAGCGATGGCTAATAGCGCATAAGAAGCAAAGAAACCAGTGTCAACGGGAAGCAGTAAATCTGCTCTTCGCGCTTGTAAAAGCTCCCCTGTTCTTAATACAGCGCCAAAACCCAAAGCCAATATACCTGCCAAACGTAGCCAGCCCCAAAGATAGCACGTAGCTAACATGGCTAGCAAAACTGGACCCGGCATTGCCACGTGGTGCAGTGTAGGCTCTTGTCGCGACCAAGAAAAAGCTAAATCCCAGCAGCCTTGTAAGGACCTTCGAATCTGTGGCTTCAGACTTGAAAGCGCGTTGATGGTCTCGGAGTAGTGATTCAATGGACGTCCTGCCTGATAAAGGCTGCGTCCATATCTGTTTACCAAAACATTGATCTCTTCAATATTTGCAAATGCATTCTCCAGCAACAAATGTAGGTCAACGCCTTCTTCCTTCAGCCATGCCTCCAGGTCATGCATAAGCTGATCTCTTGCACGTCTAGTAATCTGCAAGACAGGTCTCCCAGAAGGCGGCGGTGGCTTCCCTGCTCTTGCCTTTGCCCTTGTCACATCCCCAGCATTTCGAGGAAAAAGCGGCATGGCTCTCACAGGCATCCTAACTAAAAAGACAAGTGTGAAGAAAGGAGCACGAGAAAGGAAGAGACCCCACGCAAACAGAAGAGAGAGAAATCCATTGGCAAACGGAATCCACTAGCGCTGCGCATTTCTGGTCCTTCCCCTGGGTAACCCAGGGTCATATCAAAATCCAAGGCACCAAATTGTGTATTTTGCTCTGGAACCCTAGACCCTTGAATCTGCCTAAAGACACTTCTATCAGCTAAGCTCAGTACGTTTGGTCCAAGGAGCAGAAGGACAAGCCTTACCCAGTTTGAAGCCCACCTTCTAAGCTTCATCAGGCTGGCCAGCCTGAATAGGTCTGATCTATTCCAGGACTGGAGCTGCAGGCCATTGATGACTGATTCATGTAGGTATGGATCACCTCATCTTAAGAGCTTTGCTTTTGTAGGTGTTCACACACGCATGCACAGGTTGGCTTTGAGGCGTAGGTGCAAAAAGAAACATGTCCTAGTGCAAGGACAGTATACCAAAGCAAGTGCTGCGTACGTTGACGAACTAGCAGAAGCGCTTGCACAAACTCTCGCCAAATCCATTCGAGACCTATTTCAGGACGAGGAACCTTTGCCAGTTGAAGGGCTGGAGAGCCAGCTCGTAAACGAAACGGTTCTCAGTGCGCCTTGGGAGGTTTCTAGGAGTTGGGCGTTCAAAGGAAAGTCACACATCAACATTTTGGAGAGCAGCAGTTTCAATAGGTTGGTACTTGATCTCACAAAACTCAAAAGACCTGTTCGAATTGTTGCTTTGCTTGATTCAAACGTTGCTAGGTGTGCTTTAAGTAAAGGGAGGACCTCTTCTAGAGGCCTTGCACCGATTGTTAGACGCACTTCAGCTCTGGCTCTTTCAGCAGGCATTTACTATACCTTGCCGTTTTGTCCAACCCGATGGAACTCAGCAGATTGCCCTACAAGGGATAAACCGTTGCCTTGCCCATGCAGCTAACTTCAGGATGGGCTACCAACTTTTTCCAGGGGGGCAAGTTCTTTACCTTAGCTGACCACGGGCTTTCGAAAAGCCCAGGCACCAGGTTTATTCTGCCTAAATGCATAGTCTGGAGACCTCTCAGGGCAAGCGTTGTTCCAACCCTTGTCTGATCATCCTCAGGATCCAAACCATAAGGCATCTCCTTGGTACGCAAAGCTGGTCGCCGCATTATGGAGAAGGTGGTGCACGGCGGTTCCACCATGAAGCCCTTTATAAATCTGTTTGCAATGAGATGAGCAAGCCATTCCATAACCTTTATATCCATTAGGTTATACTGAAGACTTTCAGAAATGTCAAGTGGAGGGCAACAGGAAAAACCTAGTTCCATCATAAAATGAGTTACCTTGGCACTACCTGCAAACACTTCAACAAAATCAAAACGGAAAGCTAAAGGTCGTGGAATGGACCTATCACTTGGCCCATGCACATCATCAAGGTTCTGAGTTTCCTCCAAAACATTTGCCCTACGCAGAGCGGCTTCAACAGGGGAGAGCAACCTAGTGTATCCACCCTTGTTTTTTGATGTCTTCCAGAGAACCTCACACAGCTCAGCTCCAACACGAGCACTGCAGTAGGCACCATGCGTCTGGGAGGCGTCAGAACAGAATATTTCCTCATGCCAAGGTGCCGATAGTTCGGATATCATCAACGGCGCAAGCACAGCTGCTAACACCAATTCATTTGCAACAGTTCGGGGGAGAGCTACAAGCTTAGGATCATTTGGGTCTATCAGGGCGGCATCTACCAGTTGGAAAACCTTATTTAAAAGTCCCATGAGAGGCCTACGATACATGAATGCCGAAACCCAACCACCGACCAGGCACAGGTGCAGTGCGTCAGAGGTATGACTCAGGCGGCACAAGTCCATAGTAATGACAGACAATGAAAGGCGCTTTTCCACAGGTGCTCCAACAGTTACCAGGCCTCTAGAGGTAGCACTCACAGCAGAGTTCACAGACGCCCCAACCACTTTGGCTCGCATCGCTAGGTCATCCTTTTCTGGTGACCCCAAAATGCCTTGGCTCTTGTAACACTTTCTAGCATGATCAAGCATCTGCGCAGCCCTTGTCTCTTGAAGGCTAGTGCTGTGTGGCTGCTTGGAAACCACAAAATAGTCATCTATAACCAAACCTTCACACAAATCATCCCTCAAGAGAGGCCTGCCGCTCTGTATCCTACTTTCTTCCGACAACAAGCCATGCTCTTTCAAGAAGTTGATATGGGCACACGTCGCAACATCAACCCCTAGGTGATCCCCTTGAAGTACGGCCTTAAAAGCGACACGGATTCTCTCAAAGCTCCCGGGCGCAAAGCCGATCTCCATGTAGTGATCGGTCGTACCTGGTGGCTGAGGATCGCTGCAAAAACTCCTGGTATCCCTTAAGGTGCTTAAGGCTATCTTCGGGAACGTGGGGGCCTACACTATTATGAAGGGCCTTGGAATCAGTTACCTTAATCTGGTGATAGAAATCTTTACGATCGGTTACAGCTATGCAAAGGTATTCATCCTTAGGATTACAAAACAGTGTACACAGGTCTGGACCTGTGGGCATGTTGCAGGATGGTCCTAACACTCTAGCTTCACAGGCATTTCTTCCCCTTCGGTCTCCGATTTGCCTATCCGCTGTGGAGTTTTTGTAGTTGTTAAATATTTTTACCTGTTCATACGGTCTGTCAAGATAGCGAGAACTGCGGTGGACAAAAAGCAGGCTCTTTTGATCCCACACCTCAGCAAGCTTTATAATCTCGGCAGGCCGATCTGTGCACATAGGATATAGCCCTTTACCAGGCTTCACATCAGGCAGGAAAAGCAGATTTGGTTCTCGGAAAGCCATAAGGAGTTCTTCGGTCAAATAAGGCTGAGGGTCCCAAGCACCTGAACCAGATATTTTAAGTCTCTCAGCATCTAAGTCCCTTCCAGCGGCACACTACAGCCTTGGAACATGCGATCATATGGATTGCAACTAGGACCGAGTCTAGTGAGAGCATCAGAAAGCTCATTCAGTCTTGCACTTAATTGAGGCATCCTACGACCCGAAGCAGAAATATCTGGCATCTCTGCTGGGCCCTCCGCCCTGATAAGGCACCGCAACCTGCGATAAAAGGCAGTGTGCATCGCATTTGGAGCCTTAGCCAATAGTTCACTTTTCACAGGACCACCATTGTACCAAAAATTGAGGGCTAAAACAATAACACAAACAGCTCTGTTCTCATGGATCCTACGACGTTTGTCAAGTGAAATATCGGGATTCATCCTTTCAAACCACCTTCCAACAGGCAGGGGCATAGGGAAATAGGACGGTGCCGTGCCAGTGACACGTGGCAGGTGAAGGTTCCTCGCTACAAAATTAGAAAAGGGGTCCTGGTCCTAAGCACATTTCCCACAAGAGTTGCACACCACTTAGAGTATGACAGCCTCTTATTGCGACTATGCTCATAAACTATACTAGGACCAGGACCATGGTGCTGAGTGTCCTGCGCATTGTCTGCTGAAGACTTCGCTCTTGCAAACGCTCCACGTTCAGGACATGCATCGTTGTGTTTAGGATCGTCATGCACCACGCTGCGTGAAACTTTCAATCTCCCTCCGGCGGAGGTGCTTTGGGCTTCTTTGGGAACCTGGTCTTCCGCTTTGGAGAGTTGGCCTCCTGGCCAGCATCGACCGCAGCCTTTGCCTCTGCCCTTCCTCCCCTTCTCAGCTCTGACTTCTTGGTCATCAGCAGGTCCAGTTCTTTGAGGTAAGACAAATGCACGGCTGCCCATTCCCCCGGCATGATGGGGGCGAAAACTCTGAGGCCCGACATGCTGCTCATCCTGTCTTGAAACAGCTGCTGTGGAGGGTCTGGAGCTAGGCTGATGAGGTAGGCAGTATCCCATGATCCGTCGATAGCCGACTGCTCCAACGCACAAACCAGTAAGGCCAGGTGTTCCTTCACTGCCGGAAAATTTTGATTTGCGGCAGCATCTACCACAGCGGCTACAATCCAGGTAATAAGGCCTAGGTCTCTTTGTCCCTTGTAGCCCCCAAAACGTTCCAGGTATGCATACATGCTCACATTGAGGTCTCTGATCTCCTCCTCCGATTTTGGCACCTGACGGCTGGGATGCATTCTTCGAGTCATCTGCTGCTGGAACTGAAGCCAAAAGTTGGATGTTCCGGCTGCCAACGCTGAAATCATCTTTTCCCGCCGTGCAACCCCACGTGTAGTCGCTGAAGACTGGCCTGTTTGGCCCATGGCAAGGTCTGTCATTGGGTCTCCTGCACTGCTGGTTAGGTGGGCTACTAATGAGGTTAGCGCCTGGCTCTGCTGACTCAGCGCACTCACCACCGGATCTTGATGGGGAGCAAATGGGTCGTGAGGCTCGTCTGGGAGCGCCCGAGCAGTTTCCTTGCTCGTACCCCATTTCACCTTTGGAGGCGGTCCAACCAAATTTGCAAGGCTTTTTGGAGTGGCCAGCACAGGAGGTACTGACCGAGTTCCCCCCAATGGAGGCATGGCGGGAACTTCCAACTCTCTTCTCGAAGGAGCAGGCTCTTGTGCAGGAGTGGCAGAGGCTGGCTTGGGGATGACCTCCTGCATCAATGTCATCATCGATTGCACTTGCGCTGAGAGAACATTGACTTGGTCTGCTAAACTGGCTACCGTGTTTTTCTTGACCAGAGGGGCCTTTTTTGCCTTGGCCTTTGCTGTGGTAGGCGCCTCCTGCTCCTCTCGAGCTGAGTAAAAATTTGACCCCCCCCAGCATCAGTCTCAACGGCCCACTCTCTGGCCAGTTTCAAAGCTGAAGCAACCTCAGGAATGCAATCAGGCCGCTCCAACGAAAAACCCACAATCTCCTTATGGGAGTCCGTCACAGGGTCATACTCAGCAAACCATCCCAACGTAGCATCTGCAAGGTCAACAAGAAGGAAATCCACCTCAAGGCCAGTAATGCGTTCTGCACCATCATCATCCTCCTCCACAAGGAGCGTAGATGTTCTGAGAGAAGGCCCAATTTCTGCATCATCCTCAGCTGTCTTTCCAGCAATCAGCGCATCATCCGAAAACACTTCTGTAGGCATGGCCACCATAAAGCCCCCAGCCCGCTCCATCATGGGCAAAGCGAAGGCCAAGGCATCCTGCCCGGTCAGCGAAAGGTGCGAGGGAACCAAGGCTAGCAAGATCCTTGGCTCCCGTGTTGCTGCAAATCTGATGTCGCCTTTTTCCATTGCTTCAAAGGTGGGATGCGAATCCTCGCACTGCTGCAGAAAATCTCCAACTCAATAAGTGATGGGAACTCCTCCACAACCGTCTCGGGATGATGCAAATCCACCAAACGAAGCACGTCACGCTTTGATGTAGTGCGGAAGGGGCTGCTCAAGCCTACTCCACGCAGGACGATCCAGTGCTGACTCTGTAGGCCCTTAATTGGTCCCTCCGGACAGTACACAGTTACAGTCTCAACAGCTGCCCAAGCCCAATGACCGGCAGATAGACTTCGATGTACTCGGTGGTCCACTGAGACAACAGAGGAGGACAATCTGGACCTGGCAAGTGCTAAAATCGCCTTAGTAGGTCTAGGAGGTCCGTCTTCCACACTGTGGTGCCTTAGCGAGAGGCTTAGCTTCGAAACTATTTCCGCTTCTGCTTCAATCACCTCCCAGCTTCCTTCCCAAACTTCGGAAGGTGACCAAATAGAGGCTTCAAGGTCACCTATTCTTTCGACAAGCTCTGCCAGCTGTACCTTAATCTCCTTAAGTTCCTTGGCAAGGTGCTCTCTGGAGTGATCACTACTGCTCATGCAAGTACCCTCTGAGACGCCTTGGTATTCGGACCAACTGAGAAACAGTTTCAGGCCTAAATGGAACAGGAGATGGCTGGGCAAGGTGCAAAACCAGACAGGTACAGCAGCAAAGGAGGGCCAACAGGAACCCCGACGAAAGTCCAAAGATGAAAGGGAGGAAAGCCGAGTTGCCGCAATGGAAAGGGCAGGCAAAGGTGGAGGTAGCAAGCGAGAACAAGTCTAAGGCCCCTACAACCCTATCCATAGATGCTTGAGATCGAAAAGGATTCGGCAGTCAGAGTTAAAAGTTCATATATATCATATCATAATAATGATAGATAACATATAGAATCTTAGATAAGATGTTTTCTTTAAAAAAAAAAACGTGTTTAGGCCATCTATTCATATTGTAAAAGAAGTAATGTAGATACAGACCTAAATCCAATTAGCTGATCATCTCTGGGTGTCTATTGGAGATTATCCTATTGGTTAATGGGATTAATGATGACATTAACCAATGGGATAATCATTAACCCCATTAACCAATTGAATTAATGAGAGAATTCATGGGATAATACCATTATGATTGGCCAATTTGAATTGGGCTTAATGGGCTTAATGGGATAATTTATTGAATTGATAGCAATTGAAATGGGGATTTTTTTCGCCGGCCATATAATCAGTATCACCATGAATTGGCCGTCAATCACACTATACCCCATTTTCAGACATCTCAAAAAAAAAAAATGGTAATGAAACGTTTGGATAGCTATGGTTTGCGGTTCAGGCTCTAGCACATTACTGATCATTACTGGCTATCTTCGCTTTGGTAGTGTCTCAATTGACCCACAATCGCTGAAGACTTCCGGTGATACATGCAGAATTCTGCAGAATTGCTTTCCCTTCTGTGTGCAGGTGCCTGAGCAGTTCTGCTCCGCACTATATCATGGTGTACCACCCCTGTATGACACACATTGACACACCTTCAGTGTCAATTGAGGCATTTCTCTTCCTGTTCTCTTCACATCCAGTTCAAGCCGAGTTGCCCTTCTTTTTCTTTGCCTGGTGGCATCTGGGGGCTACGCTCTTACAAAGGGATGGTACAAAGTTATGCAAAGCTCATGACACGTGGCACACGTGGCACACGTGGCACACGTGGCACACGTGGCACACGTGGCACACGTGGCACACGTGGCACACGTGGCACACGTGGCACCGGCATGCACCGGCCTTCTCTTTCTCGGGTTTGGCAACTGGTTCCTCCTCACGTCCCGGGACCCCAGGCTCCCCGATCCATGATGCAACGTGATCCAAAGCCACCCGGCACCGCCTTCTTTTTGGTTTCATCTGGCTTTACCCTGCGGCAAGATGGCAAGATGTCACCAGGATCATTTGGGAATCGTTGCATCAGCAGCTTCCCAACGAAAGTGTTTGGATTCCTGCTTAATCCCCAAGAAAGACTCCAAGTATCCAATGTTTTGACATCTGAAATCTACATTTCGGCCAACTTGAGGACTTGCGGCCACCCAGACGTCGCCGTCCCAACCCTTTCGAGAAAGTGACCTCACGATATAGCCGATGCAAAACTCCCACATCAAATTCGCTGGCAGAATGCTCTTGTGGGCAGCTGCTGCAGCCGCTGTGGCATCCTATGGGGATGGGTTTCAGATTTGGGAATCCCAGGCTGACACTGTCAGATTTGTCAGATTCCATATATTTTTTGAGGGGTCTCATCCGTGATTAATCCTTTCATTGTCAAGCAAGAAAGAGACTCTCACAGTTTAATGGAAGTGTTACCTGCAGCTTGCACAGTGGCCCACAATGGTCCTTGCCACCCATCTGTAAAAGAACACCTGCCGCGACTACAACCAAGGTTTGAGTAAGAAACCCATCAAAATGCAGAGTTTGGTGAGTTTGCAAATTTTGCAAAGTTGTAATAGCTGAAAAGTTTCAAATTTTATGGTTCATACTCTCGGAACAACCTGTTGGCCACCAAACATTCACCTGTTGGCACGTGACGAGTGTTGGTCCACATGGAAAAAACACCTGAGCAATAGCTGCAAACCACTGGAGCCCACGGCAGCCCTATATGGCCTGCCCCACCGGGATGTTTTTTGTGAAAAGCCGTGACATCATACACCTTAGCTCTGCAGGCTCGAGATGCTCCAGTTTCGGTTCCATTCCTTCGCCTTTCCTACCTTTCCTATCCCAATTGATCCAGAAGTTTGGCGACTCGAAACATCTCCAAACACTCCCTGCCTTTCGGTTCATGATGACCCATAGTGATGCGGCGGTGTTGTGTTTCAAGACCTGCACCATGCACCAATGCACTCTGTCAAATCACGAAACATGCAAATCGACAATCGCAACATGAAACCAGCTGGAATGTGAACCTCCTCCACTGTGTACGGTTTTCTTTGGGCTGGCGCAACCAATGGCATAACGGCATTAAGGGCCCGAGGCAATCGAGTTCACTTGTTTCAGTTCCTCATGTTTTGTCATGTTTTGTGGTTTCGCTGCACTAAGTCTGAAGATCACATATTGATATTTATTGGCTATGAACGTTGATATTGGAAGATTTTTACGTGGTAAACTATGAACAGCCAGTGGGATCATGTTTTGTACAACCATCCAATTTGCAAATACGGTACCTCCATCATTGTTGCGCCTCATCCCTGCGGTCCTTTGGTGGCCAAACGGATCGTTCCTTTTTCAAACATCTGCGAACTATCGCCGCTTCATATCGAACTCGTACAAGTCTACTCCCAAAAGAAAAACAAAATAACGATGCTAGACACAACCAATAAATTTTGGGGCCTGTGCCTGTCGATGGAAACCCAAGATGCACCATATTTGAATCAAAAAGGAAAGAAAACGCAAAAATGATAAACTGTTGGAACTTTCCCATCGGCTAGGAACCAGTCCGTAACTGGCCCGCAGAGATTTTCACTCGTTGTTTGTTGCTGTAATGATGGACCATTGGAGGGTGCGGAATTCATGTTGAAATTTGGGAAGATCAAAAGCTAAAGGTGGTTGGAATTTGGACCCCAAACACACGTCGGATATCCCGAACACGGGTAATTGGAGTGTTTTGTTGGAATTTCCTTGGAATATTTACGGTCTAAATTCTCCCGTTACCACCAAGTTCACACAATGGTTTCCGTTGTTTCAACTTCCCAACTCTAGATTAGATACTAATATGTATTGGGGAGTGCCTTGGCCTCTTTGTCTTAAATAAACCCAATTTACAGAAACCATTTCCTAAATCAACCCTAAGCTGGGAAACTATTTGAAACTATTTCTTAAATAAACCCAATTTACAGAAACTATTTTTTAAATAAACCCAATTTGCAAAAACTATTTCTTAAATAAACCGTATTTACACAACTATTTCCTAAATAAGTCCAGTTTTAGGATTTTTTTGAAAAATATCCAAAAAAAATATACACTAATAAAAAACTAAAGAAGTAATGCAAGTTAGGCCTTCTAGGGATTGGTTTGAAACGGTTTGGAACGGTTTCGGACTATTACCTAGCAAGTAGCGGGAAACGGTTTGAAACGGTTTCGGACTATTTGTTACTTAGCCATTCCCACAAAGTATTTGAAACTGTTTGAAACTGTTTGACACTATTTGAAACTATTTGAAACTATTTGAAACTGTTGGAAACTATTTGAAACTATTTGAAACTATTTGCCATGTTTGCCCGGGTGAATTAGCAGATAGTAGGAAACGGTTTCGGACGGTTTCGGACTATTACCTAGTAAGTAGCGGGATGCAAAATTTCATTTTAGAGATTGAAAAGTAAGAAAGAAACAGTGACTGATTCTGAGATGAGGAGTCAAAGAACACAGAACGAAAGAGAATGAAGAATGCCCGCGCCAACAGCCTGGCAGCCTCTCTCTCTCTTGGTGAGAACATGGCTCACTTGCCTGGGGCAGTCTCTGGACTTCCAGTAGTTGACTGCTATCCTTGTCCAACGGTTGGGATTGGTAAAAGCAACCCTGGTTTTGTAAATGGTTTGTGGGTTTAGGACACAGATTAAGAAATGGATTCTGGGATTTAAGAAATAGTTTCCAAGATTGAAGAAATAGTTTCTGGGATTGAAGAAGTAGTTTCCAAGATTTAAGAAATAGATTCTAGGAATTCAAAAAAAGTTTCTGGGATTTAAGACATCGTTTCCTTTCATATTTACATCTTAGAAGGGTTAAGTTGGTAGGCTCTCGACGAAACCTGCGAAAGAGTTTTGGTTGCACTCACACCCTCATACATGTGTTCAGCTAGATGTCATTGCATGGCAGTTGCAGCAAGAATGACACGCACAAACGTTGAGACAGTGGAATCCATTTTCACCATGTCTATATACATGGAAAATCCATGTGAATCTACAGGCCCTTTACGGCTCAGTACAAAAGGTGAGCGCTGTGCACCGTTTCCTTCACATGGTAGCGGAGCATCTGGCTCCTGCTCTGCTTTGACTTGGAGGTGGATCGACAGGATTCTGGCTGCTTGGGTGAATACATCGGTTTGGGTGGAGGACTGCAATCAATTGCAATACACTTCATTGGCTGGTGGGACACCTTTTGGCTTGGCTGGATTTACAGTGGGCACAATTGCTTGCAATAGCTTGGACAGTTTTCTTCAGTGAGTTTTGGATTTTCAGGTGAACGTGTTTCTGCGCTGGTGATGGCTAGTGTAGACCCTGGAATTCTGCAGACTGCACTTTTACAGGTAGCTGAGGCTACACGAGCTGCAGGTGAGGCAGCTAAAGCGGTTCAACAGGCTTAGGCCAAAGCAGGTGCATTGGGTCCTAGCAGCGCAGCTTCTTCGACAAGCGTTGACTGGTCCAAGCTGATCAACAAACCACAGGCCTTCGACCATGCTTCATTGGAGGCCGAGATCAAGGCATTTAGAGATTGGAGCTGGCAATTGGGACAGTTCCTCATAGCAATTGACCCCAGCTATGATGATGAGCTGAAAAAGATCTTTGAAGATCCCTCCAAAGGCTTGGACATGGTGTCTGCAAGTGCTGATACACGCAATCGCAGTACAAAGTTGTATGGTTTGCTTGCTTCTTTGGTGCGTGGCAAAGCACTTGGACTGGTGAGAGTGTCAATGGATCTGCCGCGTATGTTGCACTACGTCAGATGTGTTTGACATTGCGCCCCAACAGCAATACAAGAGGTTTGGCCCTACTTTCAGCAGCAACTTCTTGCCCACCACTTCAGCCTCAGATGCTCAAGCTGGAAGAGGTGTTTGAAGATTCTCGGAGAGCTGGTACAGATATTCAGGATGCTGTCAAAGCTGCCATTTTGATGCGTTGTGTTTCAGGTCAGTTGAAAACATACCTGAACCTTGGAGCCCAGGATGACATGAGCTACAGTGCTCTGAGAGAGCAGTGCTTGAAGTGGGACAAGGCGCAACAAAGTTGGTCAAGTTTGGTGGCTTCAGATGATACAGCAGTGCCTATGGAGATCGACAGAGTTGAAGGCAAAGGATGGCATGGAGCTGCAGGAAAGAAAGGCAAGGGCAAGGGCAAGAGTGACAAGGGCGCCTCAAAAGGCAAAAGCAAGTCGAAGTCAAAGTCCAAGGATGGCAAGGGAAAATGGCTCTGACAAGGGCAAGGGCAGAGCAGATGACAGATCCAAGGGAAAAGGAAAAGGTGATCGACAGTGCTACATTTGTGGCAAACCATGGCCGCTATGCCAGGGATTGCTGCCAAGGTGGACAACAAGTCAGGGCTGTTGCACAAAACGCAGCCCAACAGTCACAGGACAGTATGGTTTCCTATCAGACCGTGGTCCACGCCGTTGTGGCGCGAAGCACGTTTCCAAGTCAAAATGTACAAAACACACCATTCTCGGACCACTTTTGGAAGTTGCGATGTCGAAAAAGTGCACGCCGTTGTGGCGCGAAGCACATTTCCAAGTCAAAATGTACAAAACACACCATGCTCGGACCACTTTTGGAGGTTCGGATGTTGAAAAAGTGCACGCCGTTGTGGCGCGAAGCACATTTCGAAGTCAAAAGTGTAAAAAACTGGGGGTTTTGAGCCTTTTTTGACGTTAAGATGTCCAAAAAGTAGACAGTGATTAATTTAACTAACTTGACTAACTTAATTAACTTCACTAACTTAACTACCCTAACTTCGGCGACAACAGCAACAGCAACAACAACAACACCAACCACAACAACAACAACTACAACTACACAACAACTACACAACAACTACAACTAGGACTACAACTACAACAACCACAGCTACAACTACAACTACAACAACTACAACTACAACTACAACAACAACAACAGCAACAACAACAACAACAACTACTACTACTACTACTACAACAACTACAACTACAACTACAACTAGAACTACAACTACAACAACTACAACAACTACAGCTACAACAACAACAACTACTACTACTACTACTACAACTACAACTACAACTACAACTACAACAGCTACAACAACAGCAACAACAACAACTACAACAACAGCAACTACAACTACAACAACAACAGCAACAACAACAACAACAACAATTACTACTACTACTACTACTACTACTACTACTACTACTACTACAACTACAACTACAACTACAACTACAACTACAACTACAACGACAACGACAACGACCACTACCACTACCACTACCACTACAACTACAAATACCACTACCACTACCACTACCACTACAACTACAACTACAACTACAACTACAACAACAACAACTACAACAACTACAACTACAACAACAACAACTACAACTACACAACAGCTACAACTACAAAACAACTACAGCTACAACTATATGACTGCAACTACACTACACTAATTACATTAAACCACAACTACAACTCCACTACGCTACAACTACAACTACAGTTGCAGTACATCACACTACATCCAGCAGTTGTGGGTGAGGTGACCACTGCAACCATTGCAACCATTCCAGCAACACAACTCCAACCACCTTTCGGTCAATCAGTGGATTCGCTCTGCCATCCGTGATTCACAACAACCAACGTCTCCTATAGGTTTCCTATTCTGAAACTTCCGCCACCGCCTTGTGCGGTACTACTGGTAGATGGTAGATGGAGTCTATAGCAACTCACCGCTGAACACTTTGAGAGGTGCTTGCCAATCCCTTGGACTTTCGAAGGGAGGAGGCAAGGTCAAACTTTTACAAAGACTTTGGGAACATTTGTTAGCTCAAGAACTCACAGCTTCCCATTCTGCAGAGCGCATCTTGCAAGGTGAACGGATGAGACCTGCCATAGGCCAACCAGTTCCTACTGAACCAACAGAAGAGCAACGTGCCCAGCACAATTTGGTGCACTATCCATATGCTGCATGGTGTGAACTTTGAGTTGCAAACCATGTCAGGCAAGATGGACATGAACCTCAACCACATGTCGAATCAGGCCACAGTTGCATTTTCTTTTGACTTCGGCTATGC